TACATCCCTGGCCCTGGTTTTTAGGATATTAGACATTTTTTTGACAAGGCAAAGCTGAACACAAGGCAGCATTACATTGCACCTAACCAAAGGGAAGGCACAAAGGAAAGCCCTTTACTTGTATTGGTTAATGTAATTCTCACAGACCCCTTGAGAGGTCAAAGTATCCCCAACTCTCCAGATGGAGTCAGTGGAGCTCAGAGAGTTTAATGGTTTTGCTCAAAGTTCAGTGGTGGAGGCAGGATTCCAACCCAAGTTTGCCTGGCTGTAATGCCCTGCTGAGTTGACATTTTTCTCTCAAACAAGAAAAATTGCTCTGTGACTTTTCCATTTCATCCTGGTTCCACAGTCATTGAAGAACTTGCTCAAATGAGGTAGGCTAGTAAAGTATCCCCAAGTTCTCCATGGGAGATAGAATAAGGAGTGAGGAAAGAGGACAGAAGAGAAAAAAGAGAAGGGGCAGAGAGACTGAGGCACTCAACTAGCCCAATCTCTCCATGGATGATCTTGCATTTGCAGGCTGACAGCATCAATCCACTTTTACTTAATTAGCTGTACAACCTTTGGATAATAGCAAATAGTGTGCCAATTCAGAATTCTTCAATTCTGTGATTCAGTAATTGCTTCAGGCTCATAAAACCAAATGCCCTGCTTTTGGATGATAAGTGAGCATATAACCTAGAGAAATGGGAAGAAGCACACTGTTACATGGGAATTCTGCACTGTTCTAAAAACAAACTTTTGCTGCTGTGCTTGCATTTAAGACATTATTTAGGAGGATATTCAAAACTTCTGAGGTTATGAATTTTGCTTTTATTATGTTTTGCTATAGGCATACAAAAATACATGAGACATAAGTAAGTTGTACAGCATAACAACTAAATGAACATTCATGAGCCCTAATTAAAAAGCCAACAATGTTAACTCCAACATCACATCAGCCCTAATAGAATGCAAGTTCTGTGAGAGCATGGAGTTTTGTCTGTTTTGTTCACTGTTGTATCCCTCAGGACCTAGACTGGTACCTGGTTGTAGTATTGGTTTAAAATTTTTTTTTCTCATTGAGTTTATTGGTACATTTTAGATGTACAGTACAGTTACATACATCATTGGGATCTTGTACCTTTACATGACAGGTCTTGGTACTCATTTTTCCCCATACCCCTGCCCTCTCTTTACCCACTCCTCCCTTCCCTATTTACAAAAACTTTATTTTTTTAAATGAATGCATATGTCTACTTGTACCCTCCTTTGTCAGATTGATCCTTCTTCCCTCAGAGCTGTCCATTACCTTACATTTATTTATTGTTCCCTTGGATTTAGGCAGTTTTTTCACATATATGTTCCTAAATAACATGGTTTGTTTCTGTTTCTTTTTGAACTTGGTGTGATAGAATTATATGTATGCTTTTGTGAGTTAGGTAAGTTAACAACATTAACATGTGAGATGAACCTATATAGAGCTTTACCCCATTCCTTGATATTTTTGAATTGTATTTTATTGAATGATTGTGCCGTAATTGTTATATCCTTTCTTCTGCCAGTGGATGTTTACCATTTCTGCTTTTATAAAGAAAACTGCTATGAGCATTCCTGCATGTTCCTCCTGATAAACTGTACATTATTTTCTCTGAGATGCAAACCTGGGTGAGAGACTACAGCTGTAATTTTCATTTCCATTTCCCAAAGTTTAGCTCATAATTCAGAACCGCAGTGTGTCCTTGGTCCACAGTAAGCCAGGTTCAGTGAAGTTACTGTTCAAAATATACATATATAGGGAGAGTGGCAGACAGACAGACACAGATTTTTTTGTTTGTTGTTTTGTTTTGTTTTTGTGGTACCAGGGATCGAACTCAGGCTGCTGTGCTTGCAAGGCAGGCCGTGGAACCAAGAGCCAAATCCCTGGCTGGACAGACACAGAGAGGGAGAAACTGGTCAGAAGTTGTCTCAGGCCTCTAGTCAACATGAGTTGTAGTTACTAAAATCCAGATTGTGAAATCCCCTTTATTATTTCTCCTTCATTTATTCTTTCTTGATAGTTATTTTTGTGCAGTGTGCACGTTATTCAATTCATATCTAATAAACAAAATGTTGATTATTTTAGTCATGATTATAAATTTGTTCAGTCTTTTAACTGTATTTTAAATTTCAGTACTGATAAAAATATACATTCCTTGCAAATGTTTTAATAAGTATAACATAAGGCTAACCCTCATAAGAAAATTTAATTTGAAATCCTATATTTTGAGATATAGTCAGAGTTTGCACAGCAGAGCTCTACAATTCACTCATCTTCCTTACATGAAATTGTCTACCTACTGAACAGCAGTTCCTCATTTTTATTTCTTAAAGTATCTTTTATAAAAGTACATGTTAATTTACTGTCAGTATGTTTCCATTTTGTTTATCTGACATTTAGTTTATAATCACTTAATAATAACTATTGTTATCGTCATCTTATTTACCTATTCATACCTTATGCCTTTCAAAAAATAATCCTGTCTTAGAGGTGTTTGTTCATCTTTATTTATTTATTTATTTATTAATTTTTTGTACCGGGGATTGAATTCGGGTCCTTGCGCTTGCAAAACAGGCCACCGAACCGCTGAGCTAAATCCCTTGCCCCTTGGTGTTTCTTCATCTTTTAACAGTCTGCATTCTTCTTTAGTATATCATATACTATGTTACTTTACTCTTCTTTGCTTTTTGTCTTCTAACTTAGATGATGAGATGTGGAGGGGCAAGAAAATCTTGAGCACCACTATATCCCTAGAATCTAGTCTGTGCCTTAGCCATAGGCCTAGGTGCTAAGAGTTGAGTTGAACCAATCTACCTAAATCTCAACCTTCAGTCTCATAACATGGTTTGTCAATGGTTAACAATCTGCCCTTTGGAGTCAGACTTACTCAGGATGAAATCCTTGGATTTCCATTTACTAGACATCTGATTTTAAATAAATTTACTCAATTGCTCAGTTTCCTGTTTTGAAATATAGGCATAATACAGAGCTCCCTGGGTGATTGCTCGGAAATTAAATGAGATGATGCATAAAAAATAGCCTTGCAGGTGGAGTGCCTAAATACATGTCCTCCTGATTTTATTTGAACTGTTTGCATTAGTTAAAGAAGTTGAGAAAGTAGGGAGAGGAGGAAGAAATTGGTAAAAACAATGTACTTATTTTAGGACTGAGAATGGGGAAACAATTTTTACCCTGGGAAATGACATTTTATCCAAAAGAATGACTCGTTTTTTAATTGGCTGTATTGCATATTGGAAGTGACTTCCTTTTGAACATATAGCCCTGCTAACCTTGATTTGGTGGACAGATTCCTGCTGGTTTTCTTGTTATTGCAGGAAAGTGAAGGCTTATGACAAGCTAGGCCATCATAAACAGTGGCTGGGTTTGCATATCTGTACATTTTGAGTGTTTTCTGTTGCACTTGGAATTTGAATAAAGGCTGATATTTGTGTCTTGGTGATGACATCTTTGTAAAATACAGCCTGAGGGAAAGCTTTCTTTGCTTATTGACCTGTCAGATGTCCTCATTTGAGGTTAAGAGGAGGATAACCTTTGATGCTTTTTCTGGATTCTGATGACTGTGCTGAGCATGAAAACCAAAGAGCTCTTGGTAGGTAGTAAAGATGAATGATCGAAAGACAATAAGGTAAAAGAAACTGTGTTGGATTTTGAGTCAAATAATCCTGGGCTTGGTATCAAATCACCTAGGCTTGTCCCCTCTGAGTCTTACTTTTTCACCAGTGCAGTGGATCTACTGAGAAAATAAGCTTGTCTCACCAAGTTGTTATGAAATGTTGAAATCACACAGCACAGCAGACAGGCTCCCATTAGGGCTTTTGTTCCTTCCTTTGTTTGTAAGGAAGATGTACTCGTGAAATATAAAAGTTTCATTACTGTGGATGATACTGTGGGTCTTGATGTCCAACTGAGACAGATTAACCCATAAGGTCATTTGAGTTTGGGTTATGCTTAGACATAAGACATAAGAAAGACAAAAGTTGACCTTTGGTTAGTAAGACTCATGTGCCATTTCTTTGAACTTGATTTAATTATTATGAGAGATTAAGAATCACCATCTGTGAAGGTTTTAAGATTGGCTTTCTGGCCCCTCCCCTAACAACCAACTTGTAGAATTGAGGCACAGACCTTATTGGAGTTAGGCAGTGAGACTAGGTGCCTTCTGCATCTCCTTCCTTGCCCGTGGAACTCATGGGTCTTATAATGACCAAATATTTTGAACACAGCCCAAAAGATGTCTCACATCATTATATATCATTTCTCAACAAAAGCATCAGGTATAGGGCTTCTGCTACTTTATAAAATGTGGGCAAGAGGATGTCCATGTGATCTTGAAAAATTTCTAAGGAAAGTGAAGGAATGGGAAAAAAATCAACGAAGACTGGTATGATAATACTTATGTAATAATTATGACGCTTCCCTTGTATACTTATCCAAGGACCACTGTCTGATTTATATTGCCACATACTGTAGCAACTCAGAAGGATGGGTGGTATTATCCCTATTTTACAGATGAAATTTAAGGCTCAAGGAACTAAAGAAAAGGACATCAAGCCATTTTGATATTGGTCTGATTTGCTCATAAGTCTCCCTTTGGATGAGGTAAGGTCATAAGGTAATGTTCCATTACTCTGAAAATGTTGCCTGACCACCATCTTAAGTTAGGCAGCTTAACTACAAATTTCTTGCCTTCGTTCTTCCGTCACGTAGATAAAGCCTAAGAGTTTGGCTACTCCCAGAGAACTTCCCTGATTCTTTGGCAAGAACCAAAAAGCTATGTCCATACTGTAGAAAACTCTGCAAAAATCTCCTTAGGAAAAGTCCCAGGAAAATTAGCTTCACATTGATTCACTTGAGCCATGAATTACAATAATTTATGCATACAGTTTACTCCTGAAGACCTTAGAATTTTATTCTTCTATTGTTCTTCACGTGTTGCTTTGTTTTCTGTGTGTCTTTCCAGTTTGGAGAATGCCAGGGACCATGTTTTGCCCATCGACTATTACTTTCCACCCCAGAAGACCTGCCTGATCTGTGGGGATGAAGCTTCTGGGTGTCACTATGGAGCTCTCACTTGTGGCAGCTGCAAGGTCTTCTTCAAAAGAGCAGCTGAAGGTAAAGCATCTAGTACACTCACTTCTATTTCTCTTTCCTCGTTTTCTGTTAGAGAGCTCCCAAGATTCATGTCAGGAATGGGATCTTTGGCAGTGTCCTTTCATAGGGCTCTTATAAGCTAAAGAAGCAAATTTTCATACTTGCTGGTCACCCGATTTTGGCTCCCTTAATTGTAAAGGCAATGTAATCAATGAAGGTGGTCCCATCTGGTGCTTGATGCTTAGTGGGTCCAAGGAATGAAAGAAAAATTAATGATTTAAAAAAATAATTTTCTTCCTGCTTGTTTTCCACTCTGCTGCCTATTGAGGGAAAACTTGTTCTTATTGAAGAGGCTAGAAATAGAGAAACTCCAACTGGGTCCCTAGTCTGTTCACTGTAGTGAGTACAAGATTGTGCCTCAGCAAAGATTTCCTGGCCTCAGCCTCAGAAAGAAAGTGTTCTCATTGTTCAGCATAACATCAGTTGCTGCACCTGCTCCCTCCTGCTGCAGCCTTCCCGAATCCCTCTTTGCATTAATAGCTCCTAGGTAAGTAAGAACCCAGAGTAAAGAAATTCTTTTATCTTCCTCACCTGAGGCCTAACCCTGGATTGGTCCAGAGTCCTAACTGAGTAATATTTTATATGTGACTAAGCAGGCTGAGACCCAGGCTCTTGAGTTCTATTTCACTTACAATTTATGCTTGCTCAGCACCTAGAAATACTAGGCTTATATCCTATAGCAGGAATGCCTATTTCCAGAATTTTTATATATGCTAGCGACTCCTTAATTTCCTAACCACTTTGGGCTTAAGCCTCATATTAATCCACTTTGCTCCCCTCCCTCTACTAAGGGCTTCCTCCTCAAAGGGATACTAATGATCAGCTCCTAGTCAGAGATACTCTGCCATGGAACCACAACCAGCTGTTAAACACCAGTATGCACCTCTGCTCCCACTTCCCACAAAGGAGATACTTTCTAATAAGTACTTCCAATAAGATACTTTCTAATAAGTTTTAAATTAATTGGATTGGTACATTTAAGTATACAATATAATGACATTCATCATTGGAAGTTTTCACCTTTACATAAAATATCTTGTTTTTATTTTTTCCCCATTCCCCTGCCCTCCCTTCAAGCTCTCCATCCCTTCCTATCTACAAGGACTTTGTTTCCATTTTTTCTTTTCTCATATTAATTCCATTCACTTCTTCTTTTCCCTCATACTAAGTCCTTTTTCCTTCCCTCTCCTTGGTCTGGAACAATAGAGTGCTAGTCAGAAGCAAAACAAAAGAGCTTTTCCTTATGTAAGGACCATAAACCATGAGAACAATTTTAAAAGATATATAGGTAGGCTACACCTTTCACTAGGAGTATGCTGATACCCACTAAAGGACAGCAGAAGGGTCAGTGATTTCTTGGCATTGAGAGAAAGGTAGAAAGTGGGTGCCCTTTGACTGGTCTCTTTGTTGATAGCCAATCATAAAGATTATTGTACTTTCATCATTTCAGCTGAGTTGCAGAAATATATATAAAACAGAAAACTGTCATTTTGATTTTTTTCCATTCCTCAAAGCCATAATGAGGCAAATAATATTTTGTGTATTGCTAAAAATATGCTGCATATTCTACTGTACCCCTAAACACCCCATCGCTACTGTTCATGCAAGGCTAGTATGAGTTCAGGCCCCCAGTGCGTAGGCCTAGGCTGATTAGAAAGATCCTAAGAATAGTGTACTTCTTAGTAGTATTTATGAAAACAAGGCTATCAGAAAAGGCAGTAAGGAGAAATTCCATGAACTTCAGATCACCCCAACTTATCCAGTGCGACCCTAAAACTTCTCTATACCCCATCAACCCACAGACCCTGTCTCTAGAACAGGGGACAAACCAGAGCAGCTCTCTGGAGCGAGTGTGTCAGCAAGCCTGGCACTGTGGTAGTAGTCATATCAGATAGGGAGTAAGTTTGGGCTAGCAAGTGAGCAGGCAAATTTAATAGACAGGTCAGATTATACTTGATGCTACCTCTGGGTTTTCGAAAATCTAGGCCACCAAATTGTTTTCAGAAAAATGGAGAAATGGCCAGCTGTATTGTGAAGGAGATTTTGCTGTCATTTTATAGGTCTACATAGGAGCTTTCTGCAGATGTTAGGACTGAACTAAGGAGATAGGCAGAAGGGACCTTGCAGTGATGCCTGGCAGGAGATGGGCTATGACATGGACCCTGGACACTATGATAACAGGGAAGGAAAGAGTTGTACTTGAGTGGAGAAGATCACCCAATTTAGCACTTAAAAATCCAGTGAGGTCTCAAAATACTCCAGACCCATGGGTCACTTATATTAGGGAAACTCAGCAATATTTTTTTTAGGTAATGACCACCTGTGAGCTCATGAGACTAAAATAATCAATGGATTCCTTGCAAAGACGTGGAGGGGAACCTTCTGAGTCCCTTGCTAAAGCTGGAGTATGGAATCCAGATTTCAGTTCTGAGCCCTTTGAAGGACATGAGAAGGCAGGTCATCACACACACACACACACACACACACACACACAGAAAAAAATTATTGGTGTTTTCTTTCTCCTCCCATCTGTAAAAGTTGGTGGCTTGAGTGTACCTCCATTATTCCCTTTGAAGTCAGAGGGCTGTCTTATTACTCAAAAAGAACAATTTATTGATTTTTTTTCCATTTCTACAATGCATCTTTATTACTCAAGTGTCCTTTCTAAAGCAATGCCTTTTTAAAACTTGAAATTCTCCCTGTTTTGGAGAGAGTAGAAGCACAAATCTTTCTCTTCTTCAGTTGTTTCTTCTTGTCATTTAATTCAGACTGAGTATTTGGAGTGTTGATTATCACTTTAGTCACAGTTTTCATAAATTTCTGGGCTGGGCACAGGTACAAGAGTTGAAAGCCTGGCATGTCAGACAAAAATTCATTTCTAGCTTTGGTTCATAAAGTATGAAGCGTTAATGCTGTCACTGGTGGAAGATTCTACACACAGAATCAATTTTAATCTGGCCAGATTTTCTTGCTGGGGTGGTATGGGAGGAGACAATTCTGCATTTTCTCATTGTTAGTAATACCAGGGGTTGGGGTGAAAGTGAGGCAGAGGTGAAAGGGCAGAGAAGGATCTGCATATTTTTAATGGGAGAAATAATGTTAATAGGCCATGGAGTAAAATCACTAGAATTTAGTTGAAGAAATTTCAGCAAAAGTGTGTGTGACAGGCTGTGTGTGGGTATGGCCTGTGCATCAAAAACTGGCATGACTAGAAAAGCTGGTTTGTGGAGGAGTGAGTAGGGTAAGTGGTTAGATGAAGGGGAAAGCACACTGCATACTAAGAGGCCAGGAAATCAAAGGAAGGTGATGCTTTCATCTGTGCAGATGCTCAAAGAAGTTTAATTGTGTAGCCTTAAATAAGAAATTTTCTCATTTGGATCATAGTTTTTGGTTTGTAAAATAAGGGAATTAAATTAGATGTTCTTAAAATGGCCTGCCAGCTTGGATTTTTTGTGACAATTCTACAAATTAAAAACATCATCATCATTATTTCAGCAAACGAACACACATTTATATACCTGTGTGCCCTTCAGGTTTTGCCTTCCTAACAGATGGTAAGTCTTAGATCCTAAAGAGTAAAACTATCAGTCTTCACATGGAGTCAGAACCAGCCCACAGAGTGCACTGTTGATGAGCTAGATTAAAACCCAGGACTCTGAGATTCACTCCCTTGTGGCCATGGTTGGGTAACTAATTTCTTTTCCATTCTCTCATCTGGAAAATCAGGATGTGAGTCGCCATTATCCCTCATCATGTTTCAAAGAGAGTTAATTAATTCATCATGTGCATTATATGCTCAAGAATTTATTATTTTTCAAACGTTTTCTAGTAAAACTTATACATCCATTTGTTTTGTACACATGGAGCACTGTTTGGTACACATCATAAAATTGAAACTGTAGTTTACATTCTGAACTCAAAGAATTACACCATCCTCCCTGATGTTTACAATAGGTCCCAATTTAGTTTCCTTGGCAAATTTTATGTAAGTATGACTTTGATTCTGTCTCTTGCCCAAGGTTTTTGTGAGAGAAGAATTGTAAGTTAACCCATATTGAACCCTTTCTGTAGTTTAAATCCACTCTTTCCACCTCGGCTTATGTAGAGTTGAATGATACTTTTTACTTGGAATCTTTCAGAGAGTTTTTGGTGCATTTCAGTGTTCTCTTTACCCTCTGACTTGTTGAGTAACATTTCCCAAGAGCAAGTTAACTCCACCAGGAAGATCTGCTTATAGCTTCACCAAAAGCTTGATCAGATATCTTTGCCCAAGGAATTGAGTGATCCTGACTTTGTAAGTCCCAGAAATCTTTTTCCAAAGCTCTTCTTATCTTTCTGTATTTTATTTCTTTAAATGCCACAGTCCAACTTCAGAGCAAAAGTTAATAAACAATTTTTATGAAGGTCCAGGGAATAAATATTTTAGGCTTTGCAGGTCATATGGTCTCTGTCTAAATTACTCGACTGTGCCTTTGTAATGTGAAAGCAGCCATAGATAACACACAAACTAATGGGTATAGCTATGTTCCAATAAAACTTTATAGGCACAGAAATTTCATTCAATTTTCACATCCATTAAGATACTATTTTTCTTTAGACTTTATCAACCATTAAAAATTGTAAGCTGAGTGGTGGTGCATGCCCGGAATCCCAGAACTCTGGGAGGTTGAGGTAGGAGAATCACAAGGTCAAGGCCAGCCAGGGCAATTAAGAAGACCCTGCCTCAAAATAAAAAATTTAAAAAAGAGCTGGAGATTAGCTCTGTACGAATGCCAATGCCCTGGATTCAATCCCCAGTGTCAAAAAAAAGGTAAATAAGGCATCAAAAAGGTTTTACACCTCACAAAAATAGCTGGTAGACTAGATTTAATTGGTGGGCTGCAGGTTGTTGACCCCTGCTTCTGATAGGGACTCTTATGCTTCCAAATCAACATCATAAATTCTAGTCCCTCTAGCCTCCC